CCAATTCCAATGTACTGGGAGGGTGGTACATCCCAAGAATAATAAGAGAAGATTATCTCCCAAAGAACCTATCTGATCAGACTCGCGCGAACCCCCAACACCTACTCTAGTCAGGCCGGGTGAGCAAGGAGCACCACTCGGTTTCAAAACTGTAGATTTTGGTCCTCAGCAAATGGCCACCCGACCTAACAACCGTCTGGAAGAAAAGCTTACCACTCCAATGGAAGCCCGCCGGTGATGAGCCCAACATCTTCTTCTATAGTCGGTCGAGTGAGCAAGGCGCACCATCGAGGTTCAGAGCTATAAGTTTCGGTCCTCAGAAAATGGTAGCTCGATCTAACAGCCGGCTTGAAGAAAAGTCGGCTGCTCCAATGGTTGCCCAGCCTGAGAGCTGCTTGAACTAATGGACACATGACCAAACGACCGTCAAGAAGAAAAGTCATCACTCCAATGGCCACCCGGCCTAATGCTGCTCGATCCCCCTCTTACGATCGGACATCTGTGGGCCCTTGGGTCATATTTATGTATAGACTAAAATAACCCCATCGTGTCAACTTATACTAGGGGTATAGAATGTAGTTGCACATCTTCATTCCTGCAAATAAGGATCTATTTCGTGAATAAAGGTTACGTAATTTTAATGTTCATGACTCAAGTCTATGTTTTCTCTCTTCCTCTCTGATGTGCTCTATTCCTTGGGCATGCTTCCCGGATAGATTGGGATTCAACAACAATGAATGGTAAAATTATGGAAAATCAGAAAGTAACCAGCTGCTTCCTCAGGTGGGCCACCTACCTAACATAAAAGATTGAATTGCGAGTTATTTCATTAGGTGTGTTGGTAATGTGGAGACCCGGTCCACCGTAATTTAATTAGCTTCCTAATTAAGAATATCATTTATCACTCACCTACCTTCCCACCTACCACTCACCTACCACACTCACCTACCGCACTTCTAATTTCTATAAATAGCCTCTTATGGCTTGTCATAAACTAGCCAAGCTAGGTCAAGCCAAGTCCTGTAAGAGAGAAAGAGAGGAAGAGAGAGAGGAAGGAAGAGAAAAAAAATAAAGATTTTCTTGTAAATGTCGAAGAGCTTAATGGTGCAATTCCTCAAAGAAATAAAATCCTCTGCAGCTCCGTGGACGTAAGAAAATTTGTCGAACCACGTAAATCTATATGTCGCTCTGGTGTTTTTTCTGCATACAATTTTTTTCGTTATATTTTTCGTTTTATTGTCGTCGTTTTTTACAACTGGTATCAAAACCTTGGGTTCGAATTTAAGGAAGAACAATGAGCGGAGAAGAAGTGATGACATCGGGAATCGAAAAGTTCAATGACACATATTTTGTTTACTGGAGGATGCAGATAAAGGATTACCTCTATGGGAAGAAATTTCATCTTCTGCTATTGGAAAAAAAGTCGAAAAAGATTGATCAGACGGAATGGAATATGTTGGATCGACAAGTTCTAGAGGACTACCTCTATGTGAGTATTCCTTCTCAAAGAAGAAATCTGAAACAACTCAAATATTTCAAACCATCAATGACATGCTTTAAACTCAACTCTAATGCAAAATTCAGCTCCTCAAGACTGATAATGCAACGAAATATTTTAATTTCATCCTTGAGTCATATCTTTAAAAAAAATTATCCATGTGAGTTCATATATTAATACCCCACAACAAAATGGGATAGCTGAGAAAAAGATTATACATCTTCTTAAGGTATCTCGCTCAATTATGATTTTCCATCAATTTCCAAAATATTTTTAAGAAGAATCAGTTTTTACTGTAACATATATTATAAATCAAATATCTAGTCAGGTACTTAATTTCAAAATATGTCTTCTTGTTTTGATAGTTATATATATTCACATCAGAGCTTTCATTTCTGTTATACCGCTTAAAATCTTTCAGTGTGAATTATTTATTCACATCAATTCCCAAAATCACACAAAGCTTGATCTTAAATCTATCAAGTGTATTTTTCTTGGGTATGTCTATAATAAAATGGGGTATAAGTGTTACTCTTTGGTTGCCAAAAAATATTACAACTCCATGGATGTACACTTTTTTGAAAATCACACCTGCTGCTCTAAATATGATGTTAAGAGAGATATTCAAATGAACATCAATTGTAAGATGCACTAGATGACACCTACACGGCCTCACTATCGACTCTACATAACCCTCCTATCTCGGTTGAGGATGTCCAACCAACCCAACCTGAAATCCACAACAAAGAACTTCACGTGTGCACATGAAGGAAGAAAACTGCTCAAAACATTATTAGAGTCCACATTCAAAAGAAATTTTGGGTCCAAAGTGTACTAATCATGAGTTACCCGCTTTCTCTTCTGACATAAGTGACAAAGAAAGTTGCATTAATTGTCAAATTCAGGAGTATGTCGGGTATAGAAAGCTATCCAAATCCTGCAAATCTTTTGTTTCTAACATAAATAGTGTGCAAATTTCTAAATTCATTCATGAAGCCCTTAAAAATCCAAAATGGAGGAATGCAATTAAAGAGGATATTCAAGCATTGAAGCATAATGAAAAATGGATTCTTAATGAACTCCCTCAGAACAATAAGCCACTTGGATGCAAATTGGTGTTCAAATACAAAGCTGATAGAGGGTATAAAAAGATTCAAAGCGAGACTTGTTGCAAAAAAATTTCACTTAAGCATATGGGATTGACTATTAGGAGACCTACGCATCAACTGTCAAACTCAACATTATCAGAGTTCTCATACAGTTAAGAAGGAATGGGGGTTGCATCAACCTGATATAAAAAATGACTTCCTGAACAAAAATATGAAAGAAGTGTATAAGAATGATTCCAACAAACACCTAGCATTCAAACTCAGGAAGTCTATATATGGGCTTAAGCAATCACCAAGAGCATGGTTTGAAAGATATGCTAAAACTATGAGATCTAATGGATATTATCAATGTCAAACTGATCATATTCTGTTCATAAGACACACTCAGTGAGCTAATATTAATGCACTAATATTATACGTGAATGATATGATTCTTACTGGTGATGATGAAGAGAGATTCTCAAAACCAAAAAAGTACTTACCATTGAGTTTGAAATTCGGGACCTAGGAACCATGAGATATTTTATAGGCATGAAGGTAGCAAGTTCCAAGAAAGGCCTAAAAAATATTGTCACAAAGAGATCTACTAAAAAAGATAGGGATGATTGGATAAAATATTGTCACAAAGAGATCTACTAAAAAAGATATAATTAGCATTTTCTTTAGTAATGCTAATTATATCACAGATGAAATACATCCCAAATCTACTAAAACAACAATCAGATGTGAAAATGAAATCAAAAAAATTTAAATACATATATGCCATGTTGAGGAAATGTATTTGATTTACTAAAGGAGACGGATGATTGGATGCAAGTCTATCGATGCTCCAATGGATCCCAACAAGAAGTCTAATAAAAGAGAAGAAAGTGTACTTATGGATAAGGAAATATATCAAAGATTGGTAGGACAACGCACCTACCTGTCACACTCAATACCAGATATTGCATACTCTATCCACATTGTGAGTCAACCCATGAATAACCCAAATGAAGAGCATTTGAAAATAGCGTATAGGATTCTGAAGTTTATCAAGAAGACTTCTGGCTATGGAATAATTTTTCAGATAAAGAGATAGAAGTCCACAACGATGCATGTTGGGCTAGGGAACTCATTGAAAGAAGGTCCACCACAAATTATTGCTCCTATGTATGAGGAAAACTAGTTAGATGGAGAAGCAAGAAACAAACTATTGTTTCTAGAAACAGTGTAAAATCAAATTATAAGGCACTTGATTTGAGAACCAATGAAAGGGTCTTGATTAAAAACTTATTAAGGGTGGGGTGTACCTCCAATAGGCCTATGCATGAGTTTTGTGGCAGTCAAATAGCTATCAATATTGTTAAGAATTATGTGCATCATGATAAGAGCAAAGGTATCAAAGTTGATAAGTACTTCATGTCTCAAAATGTTAATAGTGGAATTATATAGCTAAGCTACATCCTGAAACGCCAATAAGTTGATGTCTTTACCAAAACTCTTCCTTTGAGTTCCATCTCAGAGTTTAATATCAAGTTTGGTCTCTACAACACCTACGACCCAACTTGAGGAAGTGTAAAAAATCAAAAAGTAAGTGTTTGCTTCCTTCGGTGGGCTAGCCCGCCACCTAACTATCATGGAGGATTGAATTGGGAAATAATTTGGAAACTCTTTAATTAATTTTTATTCTCTTCCTATTTATGTTTTTTGTTATTTTTAATTTAGAATTATTTCCCTTCCAAATTTAGATTAGATATATCTGGTATGATTGTAAATTAGGAGGAATTGTTTTACCTATATATATACCCTATATGTGAATAATGAAAAAGAATAATTTTTCCTTCCCAAACAATTTCTAAAAAGAAAAAAAAACACCGAAAAAACAGGTGGATGCCAAAGGGAACAAATATGAAAGGAAAAAAATTAAAATTAACAGCTAAATGTCTGAAAAGGATTTGCATGAGGATTGGCATCTCATTTAGAATAAAAAAAAAGAATTGATATGGAGATTTCATATTTGCCAAAGCCAAATAGTTTAGATAAGTTTAATAATGAGATGATGATGGTCTAACAAATTAGAGCATATTACACAAATTCAACCGTGTCTGAGATGTCAGGAGGATAAAAAACAAAATATAACAGATTACTTTGGCCATTGTCAAGATTAACAAAGACTAGAGAACGTTCATTTTTTCTCTCATCAGAACATTACTGGTAATCCATTCTATACACACAGATGCTACAGTTCATACATTTGTTTTCTTTCAAGCACTAAGTGTGTTATACCAAATCACAAGCCAGTTCGCTTCAATAAATATTTATAAGTATAGAAAAATTCTGTGATCCCCTGTTAGCTTGATGGTAATAGAAAAACCCATACCTGTCTGACATAAAATCAAAAAAAAAAAACTCACCTTGAAAATGTGGAACGCTAATATCTGGACATTTTTACTTGAATCCTACATTAAAGCGACCAAAAAAATGGTAAACTATGAAGAAAATAAATGTAGAAATGTAACAGCATAGGCAAACATGTGAAACAGCCAGCATAAACAGCCAATAAATAAATATTGCAGCATGTTAGCAACCTTCAAGATTTAAACTTACAAAATTATAATCTTTTTTTCAAAAAAGTGACAGCTTAAAGCAATTAATCTGCATACGCTCTCCAATTAGTTCGTTAAGAAATTATTTTCTCACAAACCATTGACGTTAAAGCTTGTAAAAGAGACGAAAAAGCTTATTTCTTCTTGCTTTTGTGAGATCTCGATTGCAATTATTTATGTTCAGACATTCAAAGCATTTTTCAGGTCATGAAGTGAAAGATTAAATCCTTAAAAAAATATTCGCAAAGAAAAAGTATTTTTTTTTCTTTTTTTTCTAAGGTGGCTTGCATATCTGCAAAGGAATCAAGGATCCCAAACAAAAGGAATCCGATTCATGCAAACAGAAGAAGAAGAAAAAGAAGAAGAAGTGCAAGAGGAAGGAGAAGATATCGATAACCAAAATCTGAAAGGAATCAAAAGAGAAGCATTTTCACCCCCAAGAAGATAACAAATTTAATTTCACTAATAGGACACAAGTCATCAACTCTCTCCATTCATCAGGAGAACAAGAAAACATAGAGGGAGGGGAAGACTCACGACATTGCTTAAATAGACATATTAATCAGAAATTAACATTTTTAAACAAAGTGCACATCAATGCTACTAAAAACATCCAAATGAAGTCAAAAGATTTTCTTCTAAAGCGTGCAATTCACCATGCACCTAACAACAATAACTATAACAAATTTTAATAATACTTATACCAAGCTGATTGCAAAGTCGTATGGAGAACAATTTAATCAAATCATCAGAAATATTATGCATATTAAAGCAACTAAATAGAAGGTAGAGAGACTAGAAGCAATGGCAATAGTACCTTGAGCAATGCCATCATCGTCTTCAAGTATCGAACTTCAGAGATGTATCGTTTCATTGTTTGAGAATTTGGAGTTTCCAAAAGAAATTCCGAGAGAAGCTAAAATATATTGCACTAGTTAATTTCTATTCCAAGAGGCAATATTATGGGGAGACAGAGCTACATTTATACTTTTCCTAACCTTCAACGATTGTCTTTTGGTAACATAGTTTGAAGATGACAAAAGCTTATCATAGAGCTCAAAGAACTGAAAAAATAATCCTTAGATAAAAAGAACAAAACATATAAACACAGAATCAAGGAAAACAACTATTATCTATTGACAGACCTGCTCATAGTGGGTACTTAAGAATTGAGAAACTTCTGTCTCATGTTTAGTGAGCAAGTCCTGAAATTTTTTTTTAACAATCAGAACAAATCAACAAATAAAAAGTAGCTTGCAGAATCTCGTAATCAACAAATCTTAATTAAAAGTCATTAAAGAAAAAACTGGCCTTGAAAGTAGCAAGAGCATCAGAAGCAATATCAAAGTTTGGCAATTCCACGTATTTAAAGAATAGTTCGAAGCTTGTTGACTCCAGAACATATCTGAAAGAGCACTACAAATCAAAATGCATGAGATAATAAAAATCAAAACTTATTTGTCAAAGAGAGAAAGTCAATCAAAAAAATAGCAATGAACTTCCAGTACAAAGCTACCTATTTATTAATGTTATATATTTCTATTATGAAAGTCATCAAATGTTACAAGCATAAAAATTAGACATTATTCATCAACATCAAAACCTGAATCTGTTTTTATGATCTAAGTGATAGCAGAATCATTCTGTTGATGTATTTCATACAGATTAACATAAATTCCAGAAAAAAAAAAGAAAAAAAAATATATCAGCAACCCATAGTGACTTTGAGCGACCCTTCTACACAGTTTTTCTTGTAAGTCAATGTGACATTGTATTTGGTAAAGAAATCATTATACTTGGATCTGGAGTGTTTGGCAGAGTATAATCGACCCCTCTTCCTACAGCATCAGTCTTAGTTATTGTTGGAAATCAAGCTAATTTAGCTAAGCACTGTGTATTATCTATTTAGAACCGAAGGAATGGTACCCTTGGGAGTAAGGAAAATGTTGGGAGTAAAGGGAACGAATTCCTTCCAGCAGTAACAATCGTAATCACCTTCTCACTCATCATTTCTATCAAGCAAAGTGGGACTACAATCAAATACAGAGAAAGGTCAAGAAAATTAATTAAAAAAAATATAACAAAATCGGAGCACGTGATAATGCAGCAACCGAACTGCCGAGGGTGACTGAAGGGACAGAATTGCGTTTTAGGGTTTAGGGTACCCAAATCACCACTCAGGGAAAAGCATGAAGACTCCTCTTTAGCATATCCTAACACAAGAACCACACGTGTTCTAGCTGAAAGCACTTCCATTTATTTCTGTTCCTAAGTTAACATCACTTCTGGCTGAAATATAAGTTATGGTAGGTTGATAGGAATAAAGGAAAAAATAATTCACAAAACCAAATGAAGAGCACAATGAAAATCACTATGTGATGCGCCACTTCCATGGTTTCATGACCATAGAGAGAACTACAAAAATCACTTTCTCCATCTCTCTGAGAATAAGGATAACTTTATTTGAACATCTCATCACAAAATGAAAACCGTATTAAAAGGCATGGATAAGTGCCACATATAGTACATCTATTTTTTTTTTTTAAACTTCAACATGAAAACAAAAATGATTAACTTTGTGAAGCCTATCTGGCATGCATGGTGAAGCCTGTCCGCTGCCGAAATGGGAAATGTTGGGGCACAGAGTGACTTTTCACACCCCCTAATACAAAAAAGGAAATTTCATGCTACACCCCACCAAAGCAGATACTATCATCTTAGATGTAGTTTAATCTTAGGATATAGCATGTGATAGCAACTTCATTTTTATGATTTACTCATTCGGTTTAGGCAATTCGCTTTGCATGATCCGGATGATTTGAATGATAAGAATTGCTATTGTCAATGGAAATCATGTTTCCTTAATAAGTCTTAATTATATTGAGTTAATTCTTCATCATGTTATATTGCGCTAACCTTAGTCATGCAATGTTTATTTTATTATGATATTATTTCCTCCTAAATATTTCCCACCAAGTTGATTTAAAAATTGCAAATGAAGGTTTTGTACAAGGCAAGGGTTAGAATATAGTCTCAGTGGTGTAGTGAAAGAGGCCGAGTTAGCTTAGTGTAATAGCTATTTGCATTCCTTTCTTGTTATAGTTTTCAGCCAATGGGCCAATTATAATAATATTATTTACAGCTTCATCATTCCTGGTCTCATTTGAAATTTTGATATATAAATTTCAACTGTTATCTAATGAAAACTCCATGAATGCCTTACAACTGTTACTTGTGTACGGATGACTACTTTCTTTCACATCAACTCTCTCGTTTGGTCTTTTTATGCTCAGATTCCACACTTGAACCTTAGAACCCGTCTTTGCATTTGGGTATCAAAGATTATGTGATGAGAACTTTTTCATTGGCTTTAGAGTGCACATCAAATGCTAATCTTGTTGTTCGAATACTTAAAACCTGTTTTTCACTACTCTGCACACATTTCTCAAGTTCTTCAATAAACTCAACTTGTCAAATTGCATCTATAAAAGTTATGGTAGGGCTGTCACGGCTAAAATGTGGTACAAGACTCCTATAATGCGAGGAATTATTTGGACCTAATCCTATGTCATCCTAAAATCAATGAGGATGATCAAAAGACGGTAGGGAGTGTCACCAAAATAGAAGCCTAATACCAAGTGCAGCTCCTAACAAACTTCTAAGCTGCAGGAATGGATTAAATATCACATCAAAATATGAAAAAAATTGTTGGGCTATTGTGCAACATATAATTTCTTTGTTGAGTTGGATAAAGCTCTTAGGCTTGTGGTAATCAGAGATTGTAGGTTTCTTGAAAAATTCATTACAAAAGAGACAACCAAGGCCCAACAGGATTTGGCCAAATAATTATTACTAATAAAATTTGAATGCTCCTTCAAAGACAACCAAAGTGCAAAAGGATTCGGCCACATAAATTCATAACTGAGGCCTACTTGTCATAGACTGACTTATCTCAAGTCACACGTGTGGCTTTTGCGCTCTTCCTTGGCCCTAAATCAGCCTAACCCTCACTACGCTTGGATTGTAAGCACAAAACAATCTTGGAAAAAGAATTACGAGAAGTATTGGAGGCAGAAACACTACACTAAGGAAGTATGATTACAACAATTGAATGCTAAGGAACCTTGGATGTCTCTTGGATGGATACAAATGAGTGGGAGAAACTTCTATTTATAGTCCTCTCCAAGCCTAAGGGAACTTTCTAGATTACATTAGAATATAATATCTTCTAGATAATACTACATTGTTCTTTACATATACATGTTTCTAGAACTTTCCATAATATTCTAGAGTTCTCTTTAAGCTTGCTTTGTTCAGCATATTTCTAGGATTATATGGAACATTCTAGAATTCGTTGGAATAATTTCCTTGTTTTTAGTTTTTTTATAGAATGTCGTGGAATTTTTTAGAGTCCCTTGGATGCTCTCTACATTCTGGCCTTCTCTAGAATCTTCCTTTCACATGGTTAGCTTTTCAATTACTTTTAAAGATGAGTATCTCCCCTACTTAAGCTCGCAATGCCCTCATTGCGGCATCAACTTGATACTGTCAGTTTTTTTGTTTTCCATAAATCTTCATGTCTCATTTTCTTGTTCGCCCACGTCTTCATTCTTCTTGTAGCCTTATGTAATATGGCTCGAGCTAACTCCCTTTGCTCATTCCAGAATTTGGCAAATTTGAAGAAGGTTGGGCTTTCTATCTCGCGCTTGGTTGTAGGGAGCAAGGTTTCATGGCTAGCGGCTCATTCCCTGGTTCCAGCTCGGCCTGTTGATTTATCTTCCTCTTTGGTGGTAGTTCGTTTAGTAATTCTAGTGGTGAAACACCTTTATATTCCTCAAGCACTGCCACCACTTCTCTTGGCATGTCTTTTCGGGTCTTTCCTTCTTCATTGGAGTCATGAAGAATAGCTAAGTAACTCTCCTTATCTCGTCAGATGTCATTCTTAAATTAAATGGACGATAGCATTTTGGCTTCTTGCTTGCTAGTTCTTGTTGTCGGTACTAGGCAAGTTGGGTTGCCCTCCATGATGCCATGCTCTTAGTAAAAGGTATCAGAGCGCTCTTGCTTGCTCCAAGAAATCTAGCCCTAGAACAATTTTAAAACCATATATCGAAATGACAAAGAAGTCTAAGGTATTTGACCCTCCAATACTAGTCTTCACTCCTCTTGTTATTCCACAGATTGGTCTTCCTACTGAATTGACCACCTTGATGGAGCCTCCTTCTTGAGTCGTCTGCAAACCCAATCCTTTTGCTTCTTCGGTGGAGATGAAATTGTGAGAAGCACTCGTGTCGCTCTTGTGGTCTTCCCGCCTATTACGACCTCCACAAAGAGTAACCCATTTGCTTGGGGTTTTGTTGGAGCTTGCATCCCATTCATCAGTTTTATAGTCCCCACTTGTGTCGTCATATCACCATCTTCTTTCTCCCGATGGCTTGCAAGGAGAGAGTTTAGCCTTCTTCCGAGGGTAATCCTTTGCCCAGTGAGGTCCTCCACAAAGAAAGCAGTTCTTATGCGGTTTGGTTTTATTTTTATTACACTTTCATTTGTCTTTTGCCTTCGATAAAATCGATTTGTGGCGGGTCTATTGCTTGTGTTGATCTTTATCTTCACCATCTTTGACATAGACACTCTTCTTATCTTTAGGCTTTATGGACTCTTTTGAGTAATCAATTAGGCTTTGGGCGACTGCTATGGCAGTGACAAGATCTTGCACTCCACGCCTCCTAAGTTCAGTCTTTGCCCACTGTTAGAGTCCATCCAGGAAGTTGAAAAGAGCATCATTGTCAGTCATGTCGGGAATTTCAAGGAACAGACTAGTAAACTTCTTAATATATTCTCGAACTGATCCAGTTTGCTTGAGTCTTCGCAACCGGGCTCTGGCCTCATCCTCCGCATTTTCGGGATAGAATTGCCTCTTTAACTCTTTCTTAAAGTCATCAAAAGTGGATATAGTGCACATACCTTTCTCTATATCTCATTGCCTTCTTCTCCACCACAATATTGCAATTTCTGAGAGATAAAGAGTTGCAAATTATATTCTTTGCATCTTGCCATCTGTAATCCTTGTCGCTCCAAAATATTACTCAAGTCCTCATAAGAAATTGTTCAGTTCCTTTGCGTTGCAAGCTCCTCCAAAACTCTTTTGTTTTGGCACTTCAATACGCTTGGCTTCAAAGGTATGATGGTTGGTGGATGTCGCTATCGCAAAATGTCTCCATACATCTCCTCCAAACTAGCATGTACATCGCTCATCTCGTCTTCATGGGCTCTCCGTACCTCCTGGATCTCTCCCATCAAGTCCTCTTGTATCTTAGGAGCATCATGCCTCTAATCGTCAAATGGATTGTGATGTCCTCCTTCTCAAATCCATCAACATTTTGGTCAAGATCCTCTAGGCCTCCATGTCATCCATTGCCTCCTCCACCCGAGCGAGACGCGAATCAAAATCGTGCATGATCTCCTTGAACCTCCCATGTGGTTTGGATGCAGTTGGATCTCGTTGATCCTGAAGACCTCGCCCTTGTTGAGATGATTTCACATTAGTGGCTTCAGACTCCATTACAAGCTCTCTGACGCTCTTTGTCATACTGTCGAATCAAGGCTATGATACCAACTGTCATGGACTTACTTATCTCAAATCACCCATGTGACTTTAGCGCTCTTCCTTGGCAATAAATCAGCCTAGCCCTCACTATGCTTAGACTTGTAAGCACAAAACACTATTGAAAGAAGAATAGGGAGAAGAATTGGAGAAAGAAACACTTCACTGAGAGAGTAATTACAACACTTGAAAACTTAGGAACCTCAAATGTTTCTTGGATGGATACAAATGAGAGGGAGGGACTTTCATTTATAGTCCTCCCCGAAGCCTAAGGAAACTTTGTAGATTATATTAGAATATACTATCTTCTAGATAGTTCTACAATGTTCTTTACATAGACATGCTTCTAAAACTTTTCAGAATATTCTAGAGTTATCTTGAAGCTTGATTTTAGCGTATTTCTGAAATTATATGGAACCTTCTAGAACTCCTTGGAATAATTTCTTTCTTTCTAGTTTTTTTCTAAAATGACGTGGAATCTTCTAGAGTCAGTTGGATTGCTCTTTACATTTTGGTCTTCTCTAGAATCTTCTTTTCCCATGACGTGGAATCTTCTAGAGTCAGTTGGATTGCTCTTTATATTTTGGTCTTCTCTAGAATCTTCTTTTCCCATGGTTAGCTTGCCAATTATTCTTGAAAATAGGGAGTGTGACACACCAGTCAAGAAGGATGAAAACATGCTATGGGTTGAAATTCCCCCCGCTAGTCAAAAAAAAAGTTGAATTCTCCACTTTTCCATAACCACCAAATAACTAAACAGGGCAATCTAGGCTTTCAAGCACTCAAAACAGAGTAGAAACCGTGAAACTTCTGTAATCTAGACAAGCATTACACATAAGCAAGAAAACAATTCTTATAAATGGAAAATGACTGGTCATATAAAACATGGCTAGATGTAAATGATTCATGAAAAAGAAGTAGTTTGTGTAAATAAATATATATGCCGGAACCCATGAATCATGAAAACTAAAGCAGTTCATGAAAAACCAGCAGTTCTTCAGAATACTAACGAAACTTAAAGATGGAGCAAAAGTAAAGTCCTAAGGAAAAGATATACATCTTAAGAAAAATTTTAGCACAATACAAAAATATTGAATCGTTACTAAAAGCCCATAATGTTTTGATCAGCTGGATAGAGTGTAAACATAAGACCTTAAAAAACAATGGATGCATGAAGCTTACTTCGCAAGTGTTGAATATTTAACGCATTCCCTCAACATGCTGCCGCAATTCAGTGCAATCTCTTTGTTATTATAACTGTCCAAACACATTGTTAAATAAGTCAAGCTTCATAAGGCAATGCACTCACCGCAAAAACTAGGAACAAACTAGAATGAAAATAAAACTAGGAGCATAGACTTATATTTGATTACAAACATTTTACCATCAAAATTGAAAGTACCAAATGAAAGGGTATTTAAATCTGCAAATTGAATACTATGATAGCCAAAGACAAAAACTGGTCACTTTGAGAGCCTACTGGATCATCAAACGAGCCACACATCTTTGACTTACTCAACAAATCAAGGGTTTGTGAGTTACACCTTGTTGACCAATTCAATAAACCGAGGTTCCAATAGACCCCAAGCAATTGCAAAATTGCAAAGATACATTACAAAAATTTAAATAACTATAACCTTCAAGCAATTAACTTTAAAAATAAAGTTATCTAGTAATTTGTATCAAAATAATACTTAAGAATTTTTTAAATTACAAAATAAACTTTCAAAATTGCACAAAATCCATTGGCCATAAGAAAATAACAAAATTCCATTTATTTCATCCATATATGGCTTTAAAATTTTGAAACTTTTACAAATATAACTAAAGAAGAAATTTTTTAATAAAACATTAAAAATAAAGAATTTTTCACAATATCCCTGAAATGCTTAATTAATTCTTGGGTTCGTAGATAGCAAGGTTGACTTGCAACAATCTTGAAACTAGCTTGAGTCCGTCATACTGAAAACGGCGAGAATGTACTTCAGCTAGTTTATTAAAAAATTATGTTGAACCATTAAAAGACCTCAAAAAGTGAAACTACACAGAAGAGCCTATAAATATCAATTGTAGTAACAAATGTGTGGATGCATAAATAAACATGCAAAACCAATTCAATAAAAGATATTATGTCCATGTGCGATTAACCATAAATTAAGTCAATAAACACTAAGGCATCCATGATCCCTTTGAAGATGTGTCCAAAATGTCCCAAGGGTAGCAAATTGCAATGATGCTTAATGCAACACGAAGATTATCTCGAGAACATTCTAGCATGTAAAATATTTTAGGACTTATTTTAATTTTATTATATTCACTGTATTTAATTTTTATGATTATCATTAATTTTAAATTAGATAAAATAAATTTACGTTTAAATAGATTTGAATTTAAATTTGATAGTTTTATTTTCTAAACATATCTCTATAAATAGGAGTTAAATAGGTTCTATTAGATTATTGAATAAACGAATCAAACTTGCAAGATTTCCACCACTATGTCTCTCTTAATATGATCCTGTAAAATGTTATAATGATTTGCGTTTGTTATAGCTGAATGTATTATAGCTCCCAAAATAATACCCAAGCCTACACTAATGTGAGGCTATAATAATCAAGTCTTGAACCTTATTTTTTTCCCCTCAAAAACCTCCTTTCAACAATTACCTCGAATTTGAAGAGAAATGAGACAAATTCAAGGCATCAAAAGTTCCAAAATGAAGAAAATCAACAAAAATTTATCATAACTAAATTGGCATCATATATCTTTTTTATTATGCATCAATTAGTATCAAACTTGAAGAATCCTCAACAAAGTCAACGAAATCTCCACAAATTGGTATCAGAACAACAATCACCTACTTCAAATAGCATCATAGTTGAAATTTTAGAAGGTAATTATATATAAAACTTGGCCATCTTACCATTACTATTGACACCACCATGAAATTTATCAAGCAAGAAAATAAAAAATATATTTTTGTGAGATATATTAAAACATAAAAAATTTTCCTACAAGCTGCAAATTCTGCTTATTTGCATTGAAATTAATGCTAAGAATTTATTAACATTTTTTATCAAGTTCATAAGCATCTAAGTATGCAATACAGTTATGTATATGATATAGATATAGGTGAAAAATATGCTTCAAATAAGTACAACCCATATAAATCATTTACTATACTAAGTAATACCATTATAAGTATGTTCGATAATAATTTATCAAAATATTGCCAAAAAACACTTGATAAATCTAACCAGGAATTATACAATCATCATACATAGATTCTCAAGATTATAATGAGTCAAATTATAGCCATTACTGTCATTATAATCATCGATAGTGTCATAAATATTTTAAATCAACTTCAAAACATACAAATATTAAGCCATTTTAATTCTAATGATGATCCAATGTCTCCTGAAGAATATGGATATTATCAATAAATCAATATTGATCTTATGATAGTCATGTATATAATCTTCACATCCATTCCAATTAAAAAACCATGTTATTATGATGGTAGAACATATCATACACCAATTTCTAAAACTGCTAATATTTCAATTCAAGTATAAATTTGAATAATTGTAGTATTAGTGACATCTACATTAAATTAAATACCTGATCTTCATAAGTTACTCTAGAAGGATCATTAGGGTGATGATTAATGCTCTACAAATGAATTTAGTGATCATGGTGATCTTTCATCATTAATTTAGTATGTTTTTTATTCTAACCTTAAGATTGAGCTCAAAACTATTCATAAACCAAAATTTGAAGTCGTACATAATCTGGCAATATATTTTTTATTATTAAGATGATGACATTGGTTGAATCATAGGTTTTTATATTATTGCAAGATTCCTCTTCATGTCTATAGGTTGAAATTATTTTCTATTTCCACTCAAGGTGTGTTGGTTTAATCCGTCTTCTATGGTATTGCTTTAAGAAAGGTCTATAATGAATGAAGATGTAAATCTAAAGCCTCTATATTCTACTTCAATTTATACTACACATATTAATATAAGAAGTGCTTATGGATCAGTTCCTCTAGCTTCGCCATGGAAACCAGATTCTCCAAAAAAGATGTCCACATTATTCTTCAAGAGAAGAGTTCAATCAACCCCATGGAAATTTAAAAAAAAAATTCAACCCCATGGGAATAGTTGCAATAAAAAGAAAATTATTTTAGATTATTCTATCATTCTGACTTATTTAAGAATTTATGTATGCTTCATTGGGTTTATTTGTTAGAGTTGTCTTTAATTTTCAATTAGATAGTAGGGTTTTTAGAAGTAATCTAGGCTTGAATTTAAATTAGTTGGCTGCCTTATAATCAAACTTCTATAAATTGGAGTTGAATGTATATTAGTTAGATTAATGATTAAATGACAATAAAGAGATTCCTTTCTCTATTATATCTTCTTTCTCTTTTAGCTCTTAATTCCAATGATTTCTCCCTCTTTATTATAATTTTTCTCCTCTACCACGAGCCCTAGTCTTGAAATACAAAAGACACATAATGCATCAATAAACATGACAAGGTATTGATTTCTCTAAGTTTTATCAAACGATATGCTTGGTAACTGGTGCACCTTCAGGATATATCAATGTTTACATGAAGAGGTACAAATATCATGTGGATTGAAATGTGTACTAGTGCATAAATGCACTCCAAGATAAAATAAATACACCCTAAGTGGAAATATCAATACAAATGGCTTTCAACCCGACAAAACCTTGACAAAATAAAGCAAACAATATGTTATTGGAATCATCACTTTTAGTGTAAACCACAAATTGCTTATATACAATCAATTTGGCTATCCTCATGCATTTGAGCCATGTTGTAAAAGTAAAAGCAAGTCCATTCTAACAAAGCAAACTAAAGGTACAAAAAATATAAGCCCTAATCAAAATATCACCGTACTCCTTATTTGCTCCTAAAAGGGCATCCCACGATCACAAAAGCTCATTAATTCTAAAACAATAGTCATATTAAGCTCCTTGACTGAGTGCCAATAGTCGAAATTATCTCCCTAAATTAATGCCCTTACCTATAACAAATAATTCCCTAACTTGAAGCTACATGTTCACTCTAGGACTTTTAAACTGTTGATAGGGCTTGCAATCTACCACATACCCAATTCACCTCACAGTAAATCATAGTGAAGAGTTAAATAAATGGAATGTCATTATACAAAGTACCCTAAAATATGAAGCTAACCAAGCTGGCCCCTTAATTGATAGTACTCTCTCAATATGTAGAGGAAATTAACTATTACATACATTGAAGTCTTAAACTCTATAATAAAATATACCATTAAAGTTTAACTTGGTTATCATATATAAAACTCTTTAATATGAAAAAATATCAAGTTTTCTCACTATAGTTATTGCTGGCTTTCTCCAAGAACTCGCACTTATGTTTAAATCTCCATCACATAGTACAACATAATTCTTCAATGTAACTACTAAGGTTTTAACTATATAAGTTGTCTTATAATATCACTATTTTTTGACCGAAGCTTGATTTTTATGAATATTCATTGATAACTTCAAATTCCACATCCACTAAAATTATATGCACGTAATTAGTCTTAGTTATTCAAATTATAAGCCTCTTATCTTCAAAAATTTTTATTCCATTATTTTAGCTTTTCACTTTTTCATTTTAAAAACCAATATGAAAAATAAGAAGTTATTTTATCATTGATGTAATCTTAAGATATTTCTCTTTATAATGATGTTCCTTTGTTTGATAACTCGTTACTTACTTGTATTCCTAGTCATGCAGAGATTAAAGATATCATTAATGAAATGGAGGTTGGCAAAGCAGCTGGCCCTAATGGTTTCACGGTTGAATTCTATAAACATGGTTGTAATATTATTCAGGCTGATGTTGTATTGGTTATTCAAGATTTTTTCCGTGGTCATGATTTGCCTAAGTATTTTAAATCCTCTAATATTGTCTTGATCCCTAAAGTTAACACTGCTAACTCTTGGGATGCTTTCAGACTCATAAGCTTGAATATTCTTTTATCTAAGATTATTTCTAAAATTATTGTTAAGAGATTGCAACCTATTTTAAATAAACTTATCTGTCTGAATCAGTCTGCTTTTTTTAAAGGCAGACAGATAGTGATAATGCCCTTATTGTCCAAGAGCTCCTTATGGATATTGATAAGGAGTGCAGAGGAGGGAATATTATTTTTAAAATAGATATTAAGAAAGCTTTTGATACAATACATTGGGATTTTATTATGAATATTCATCGTGCTAATGGCTTTAATGATACTTTTTGCAATCCTATTTTTCGTACTCTTAACAACAACTATTATTCTCTTCTTATTAATGGGAACAAATATGGTTTCTTCAAAGCTTATAAAGGTATAAGACAGGGAGATCCCCTATCTCGTTATCTTTTTATTCTTGCTTTTGATTATTTATCGAGATGTTTAAATGCTTTGTTTAAGATCTATCCTAGAGTCAATTATATTCACAAAGGTGGTATGAGTATTTCTCATTTAAGTTTTGCTGATGATCTTATGATCTTTACTAATAGTAATAAATTTTCTATTAGGAAAGTTTGGGTCACTCTTGTTGATTTTCAGAAGGTCTCTGGTTTAAATTTTAATACTTCTAAATGTTTCCTCCATTGTTCCAAGAGAATCCCTGTTGCTAAAAATAATTGGATTTTGGATTATACTGGTTGCAGTAAAGCTATGCTGCCTCTGAAATATTTGGGTTTCACTTTTAATAAAGGTAAAATGAGAAGTAGCCTTTGTTTAAATTTATTTGATAAAATCAGACATAAGATTTTATTTTGGGAAAATAAATTTCTTTCTTTTGAAGATCGTATCACTCTTCTCAAAAGTGTTCTTACTTCTCTTCCTCTTTATTTTTTTGCAAATTATGGATATTCCCCAGGATGTTATTAAAAAAATTAAAAATCTCTTTAATAAATTCCTTTGGGAAGGTAATGGTAATACTAAGATGCACTGGACTAGATGGCAGAAGCTTTGTAAACCCATTGAGAAGGGTGGTCTTGGTTTTCGTAGCTTAACTGATTCTATTAAGATTAATTATATGAAGCTTTGGTATAAATTTCGTAAGAATAATTCTCTTTGGGCTACTTTAATGCATGTTAAATAGTTTGAATATACATCCTCTTTCTATTACTTATAATAAGAAAGATTCTTTTATTTGGCGTGAAATGCTTAAAGTTGCCAGAATTTCTAATGATCTTATTTGTTGGGATATTGGTAAAGGTGATTATGCTTTTTAGTTTGATGATTGGATGGGGAAGGGGGCTTTAGTTGATTCTTATGGTGGTCACGTGGCTATTGATATTAAAGTCAAGGATCTTTGGTATGAGAATCGATGATGTTTTAATGAGCTTAATAGGATAGTTCATAGTGATGATGCTCTTTTTTTATATCTTCTATTCCTATTAACAGTGGTAACATTGATGTACCTAAGATCAAAGGTAAGAAGGGGGATTCTGTTGCTAAAAGCTTTGCTAACTCTTTTCAGGACTTTCAAGGTTTGGACCTTCACTGGATTTGGAATCCATGGGTCAAACCTTCCATATCTTTCTTTGTTTGGAGAGTTTTGCATAATTTTTTACCTATTGATGATTTGCTTAAGTTGAAGGGGTTACGACTTCCTTCTTGTTGTGTTCTTTGTAGGAATCATGAGGAGAATAGTCTTCACCTTTTTTCTAGCTGTATATTTACTGTAGAGATTTTGAAACAGGTTACTATGAAATTAAAATTGTTGAATTTTTTTTCTCAGTATGCTAGTATTTCTGATATTTTATATTCCTAGAGACATAAAGGCAATGGTTTATTTGTTGTTATCCCTCTTGTTATTATGTGGTTTGTTTGGCTTACTCGTAATGATATTAAGTATGGGAAAGGTGAGGCTAATATTCTTCACACGGTTGGCAAGATTTTATCTTTTCTTATGAAAGGAATCAAATTTTTTACCCCTAATAAGAAGATTACGAGTAGGATGGCTTGTATGATGCATAATTTGTCTATTCCTATTTGCTCCTCTAATAAGAATATTACTTTGCTGCATTGGTGTAAACCTTGTGCACCTTATATTAAGATTAATATTGATGGTTGCTGGAAGGTTAATAGTGCTAGTGTGGGGGGTGTTTGTCGTGACTCTATGGGTTCTATTCTCTATTGGTTTGCGACTAAGACTATTATTGTTTCTCCTCTGGTTACAGAGGCTGATGCGGTGGTTTTTGGTCTTTAGAAAATTGGATGGAAATTTATTGTTTTTAAAACTAACTCTTTAAGTTTATGGAAGTATTGCAGATTTCAAGATGAACATCATTGGAGTATTAATCTGCAGATGAAAAGAATTAATGATTTGTCCAAGAACTTACATATCATATGGAATCATACTAAAAGAGAAGGGAACTTGGTGGCTCATTGGGCAGCTAAGCTTGGATCTAATTTGAATTATGATGTGATTTCCAAAACTATTCCTGTTGTTTTGGTTCAGTTTGCTTTTTTGTTTCTTATGTTTCTTAATTGTTTTTTGGTTTTTTCTTTGCTTTGGTGTTTTGTATTTTTAGTTGGTGGTTGTGTTTTATTTTTCTTTTTTGGAAAGAGGTCCTTTTTTTTAGGGTGTGTGAGTTAGGACCTCTTTCCCGGTCTTGTTATTTTTCTTTGTGTTAATAAAATGAGAGCCGATTTATGCTCTTTAAAAAAAAAATTAAAACTTTGCAATCTATCATAATTATTTATGATACTAGTCAATACTCGCCGTACAACTTTGATAACTCAACATATTTTTGCACCTTCTTTTATCCATAGTGACAAGCAAATAAATTTCCGATCCTTGATGACATCCACTTGAGCTTAGAAAAATCATAAGAATGTTCTTTTGCTACACAATATTTGCCAAATAGGATCCCAAGCATAAAAAAAACTGACTCAATATTAGATCTTTCTAGTATATAATATAACCAATTTTCCAATATAGACTATTTTTTTTAAGCACAACTTTTAAGACCTTCCCAATAACTTCATTACATGGCAAAACTCTATTTTTGTATTTACAATAATCCAATACATCTTCATCACCCTTGCAAGCATGTATCAAATTACTAATTTGCAGGTTACTAGTCCTCTGAAAAGACCAACTTCAACATCTCACATAACTTGTTAAAGTCCGGATGACATCTAAATCTACACCTCCAACATTTTGCAAGTAAGACCATTTTTTATGAAAGAAAAGATCAATTAAAAGATAACTTACTTTAACCCAGAAATCACTCAGACTGGACACCCGAGGGATAAAATTGTTTAACTAGGATTGTATTTAAAGCTAAGTCATTCAAGATGATACAGGTTTTGAGAAATTGAGTTGATGCCATGGCAGTACCATGGCTTCAGCAGTTGTGAATAAACTGACGATGGCTGTTAAGTAAAGGATATGCAATGTTTAAGGTAAAGCCATGCCATCACATCAGTTGCTAATAACTTCCACTTAAATGAATAAAAAGATGAGAATTAGCAAATTTCAGCATCCAAAGTGGTTTTTAATTAGCAAATTAAATTCGGCTATGGCAGTACCATGATTACCCTATAATAGTAGGTTCACTTTAGTAAACAAGGACTTCAGGTATGAATAAATAGCATCTCATGTTACATTCCATCTACAAATAGAGTTAACATTGATCAAGGCAATATCCTCAACAGGTTCTCAACATTCACCAAATTTCTTGATCAAGGCAACACAGGAACTTTATGTACCTGATGTGCTTAACAAGAGAAATCATGTTACGCCTAAATATCAATATATTATTTTAGCAGGAAGCTGAACATGCAAAATAGATCATTAAGCAGTTTTGACTAACTAGAAGAAGTTCAACATAGTAAAGCGGCATATATATATATATCGTTTTCGCTCGAAATACTATATATCTTTATATATATATATATAGATATATATATATATATAGATATATATATAATCTATCAAATTGTTTCCTAATGAACTGAGATCCAAAATAGTACATTATGATATCCAAAATAGTACAGTAGATTTTCAATAGAAGAGTAGAAAATCACTAAACATAACTATTCAGTAATTACTCACCAAATAACAAGAAAATCCAGGAGATCTAAATGGTTCTCAATATATTCCACACAAGAATATGTAGAATCAACCTTTTGCCGCAACAATATGCCCCAACAATGCACTAAATCTTTTCTGGCCTGTCAAATAAGCTCCAATCAGCTCTATCTACTTAAAAAAAATAAAATGTATCACAAACAATGAACTTACATCCCATCCCAATGATGGCAGCTTTTGGACAAAAAGGGAAAGAACATCCTCCTTGCAAATTTCAAGGGCTATTAGTGAGATCTGTTCTTGACTTGGCTCAGCTTCCCCATCACCAGATAGCATTTGTCTCATGGAAACAATATTCTTCTCAACATCTTCAAGTGCCTGACAAGATAAATACAAATGTTAACAAAAATTATAAATAAAAAATAAATTATATATTAAAAATATTCAACGTTTCCAAGCATTGCTAAGAAATGCTTAATAAAATTTGATCTGCATTATTTGCTCACATATATATGGTTCTAAGAAATTTTGTAGTTTGCATAGCATTAGAAGTATACGGCAGAAGTTAGAACTATCTTAATATTTCTCCTTAAGGGGAAAATAAATAGTGCAAGTCATAGTTGATGTATCATTTTCAAGTTGGATACTGAAATGAAGTTCCTCAGCTGGTTCTTCATCAGAATAATTTTGAAGTGAAGAACTTACTAATGTAGCATGCCCGTCTAAGTTAGTATGCACAGGAGTAAATAAAGCAATATAATCAAATATTGAAAAATCGATAAAGAAGAGGGTATTCATACATTAAAGGATAGCACTCACCATTGTCTTACACTTTGCATTTGAATGGCTTTTAACTTTCATGGTGTAACAAACCAATATTTGGCTACACTGTCCATTTCGAACAATAGAAATCTCTAAAGATAGCACAATTAATGGCCTAGATTCTATGTAAAAAAAGTGAAACTCGAAGGATGGAATAATCCATGGGCAAGGTTCAAAAGAACATCAATCTTACCCTGAGGAGCTGGCTCTTTGTTTCTTAGAATATACAAAGCATCTGATTAAGGCAAACAACGTCCAACATAAATGAAAATGCTACTTGGAAAAAAGGTTGTTTGAAGGTTAAAGAAATTAAGCTTAAAAGGAAACAGTCCCGAATAAGATGACTAACAAATAAGTTGAACATGAGCCTTTGATACAACTAACAGGTCTTTTTTTTCCTTATTAGATGATTTTGATTTGTGTATTTGGCACAATTGTAGTCATAAGTGGCCAACAATCATGAAAGAGTGCAGATATGCAAATAACACCGCACAAAATTGGCTGGAAAGTTTAGGGGATGTTATTGTTGTACATTACTGTTTGGATGCCACTACTTATCATATGACAAAGATACTTAATTTTTTTAAAATAAACATAAATGTATGTGTATAATCCCACCAAATAGTACTGATTTTATTCTGTTCGGTTGGCCAAATTAGCTAATCTAACTTGTCTAATCTTCCTTAATCACAATCTATCCTCCCCCTAAATTAGGAAGAACTCCATAACAGATGCACAGAATTATATCAAAACTAAGTTAGATTACATCTTATGCATATCAACCAGGAATCCTTCCAACCTTAATTTCAATATCACCAAATCTTGATAAGAAATACTAATCTTCACCGACTTAATCTTCTCCAGAACAGAACAACCACTGATGTTCAAAACCAAATTCCAACCTAACAATATAACACTAAAGCATGGTTTTTTTTCCCTTTTTTGAAGATCCTATAGAGTATTTATCTAGCAATCAAACACACAATACTACTTATTTACAATTTATAATCCCTACACAAAACAGATTTAGCTCATGAGATCAACAAGCCAAAAATACAAAATATTTAAAACGTGTACAATGAATCATTGCCAAGACAGAAGAAACACGAAAATCATCCAGGAAACATCAATGGGCTTTCATAAGTTCCAACACAGAACATCAAAAAGTTCCAAATTTTACAGCAACCATGGAAATAGATGTCCATTTCGGAACAAGGTAAAAACTTTAGCAATTGAAAGAGAAAATCCCATGAGAGAAAAGAGCACGCATACTAGTACAAATTATTAAGGGGCAAAGGAGCAAAAAATCGTGTAAAGGCGATGAATTTAACAGTTGAGAGGGGCGATAACCTTAGCAGCTGTCTTTGTATCAAGGGCGAGGAAACTGTCCCTAATCGCCTTCACAAGCTCCGCAGGGGTCGGTCGAGCCCGCGAGGGCTTGAAGAAGAAGGACATGACTGCTCTCTCCCTCTCCCTCAACACAACGTTGGCTTTAACAGGAAGCATGCGAATCCTGGTTGGTTAGATCGGTATGGCAGGGCCCGCACGAACAGCCGGTGGGGAATGAAGGAAGACATGCCATTTGGCATTTGTATGACATCCTTAATATTAGATAGTAGTAACTTTTACCATGTGTGATATAAAATTATTATGAAAAATTTCATGGCATGTGCTTACTATAAGATTAGCATTTTCCTCTAACCAAATTTATTAAAATTAATAGTTTAAAAGAGATGTGTGAAAGTGAAGACAAATTTTAGTGCAAATTATTATGTAGGAGTAAAATTGAGGGCACTAATAATGATATATAAGAGAAAAATGAACATTGAGTTTACAATGTCTCTTGGTAGTGGTTTCAAACTTTTTCTTGGATATTTTATGTGGTTACCCTTATTTTAAAGAATATTCTTTAAATAATCACAATATGTTAACATATTAAAGAACATAGTGGGAGTACATCAATGCTTGACAACAATCTTATTTTATTGAAAATAAAAAAACTAACATCAATTATATTATAATTAGCAAAGCTTCAAACAAATTTGATGATAAAGCTATTAACAAAGTGTGAACATAGAATGAGTTCGAAAGAAGGATTTGGTCATCCAAAATGCATCTTATCATAACTAAATCACAAACAAAATGTCAACAACCAATCAATTTGAATTTTGATTTTTTGGGCGAGTCTTGGTAGGATGATATTTCAATTTTCTTCTTATGTATAAGAGTAAAATAGCTTTATGTATTTACCTAAGACAACAATGACGGGTCCTTACTTTAGTTCCCTCAAACATTTTTAGGGATAACTGTCATTCTCTTAATATGTCAAATTTCTAGCCAGTCTTTAAAAGTAAAACAGAGTTTAATTATGTATCCATGTCATCTATGGAATAAACAGTAGTTTAGTTTATTGCTCCTTTTAACTACTTCAAGCTTGTGAAATTTAAGAAGCTTTAAATCTGGTTTCTTTAACAATTTTTTGAACAACTTTCATACAACTTATCATTAAAAGAATAAAATCGGTTCTTCCTTTCTTAAAATGTAAATTTATATTTTTTATTTCTTTCAAGCTTATAAAATTTGTTGTAATTACTGTCATTTTTTGTTGTGGTTGTTGCACTTGCGATGAATGTCACTATTGTTGTATTGTATTTTTAGGTTGTCTTATTATGGGACGCTTCCCTTTATTAATAACAGAGACACATTCTCAACTCTATTTTCATAAGTTTTATTAGAATTCTACTCAATTTCCTTTTTCAAAAATGGCAACTACTTAGCCTCTTCTTGTAAGTTCGTTGCCTTATTCAATAATCTTTCAAAAGCTTTAATGTAAATCCTTTCAAAAGGAAGCAAACAAGTCCATGATATTTGTCGGCACTATTTTTGGTGTGGGGTTTGCCCGTAAGAAGCTGTCGGTCATCGGAATTGAAATCCCGTTGCCCGCTTCGGAAGGACATTTTTTTTAAAAAAAAATTTAATTTTAAAAAAGATGAAGTCAAACTGACCCCATAATTTTCATAGTTTAAATGAAAGAGCGCTTTACCTCAAATCCTGTATCTATCCCGAAGGATGAACACAAGAATTGAGGGTGAGGTTCGATCAAATAAACTAGAGAAAGTTATGACATCCGTTTAGTCTGCGAAACCAACATATTGGCCGACAAATTCCCCTATTTAATATAAGGAATTAAATAGGGTTTATATTATGCTGGGTTCGGGAAAAGCTTCCTATAAGGGCAAGCCCCTATAGTTAATTACATCATAGATAACGGAAGTTACCAAAGAATACTCTCGATAAAAATCAAAAAAAATTACC